TTTTATTTATTTATTTTTAATCCTCACCCAAGGATATTTTTCCATTTATCTGCAGGTAGAGGGGAGGGAGATAGAGGGAGAAAGGGAAAGAGAGAGAAACATCGACGTGAGAGGGACACATCGACTGGTTGCCTCCTGCAGGAAGTACCCCAACCAGGGCTGGGGACAAACAGCAACCAAGGTATGTGCCTTGGACCGGAATCGAACCCGTGACTCATTGGTCCACAGGCTGATGCTCTACTGCTGAGCCATACCGACCAGGGCTAATAAACATATTTGTTTTTTTTGGTATGTGCCCCTAGCAGGAATCAAACCCAGGACTCTGGTCGGCAGGCTGACGCTCCAACCACTGAGCCAAACCGGCCAGGGCTAATAAACATTTTTAAGCAACAGGATATGCTGGACAAAATGACGGACACAAGGAAAATTAACACAGAACCTTGGCCTCAAGGAGCTCCCAGCTGGGTTGAAGGAGAGAGAAAGGGTAATTACTACAGTCAGTACTGCCGACCACCACAGCAACAGCAGCCGCCAGAACGGAGAACTCACTATAGCCCTGGGAGGTAGACAGGAATATCTTCACCTTAAAGAGAAGGCACCGAGGATCCGAGAGGTTACGCAAACCATCCAAGGTAACACAGCTGATGTGAAGGGTATGTCTGACTATAAGGTCTGTGCACTTCGCCACCACACGTATTATCTCCACTGTGTCCTGTGATAATAAAGCCAGAAGAAACTGTGTGCTGGGGACAAGCACTGAGCCTGATTATTTACCTGTAAAATGGGGAAAGTGACCTCCAGTTTCCTGAGTGACAAGGGGTAATGTATAGGTCTGTACCACTGCAAGACTTGTTCCTACTCTTGTTAAGGGGCCCCCCAAACAGGTAGTGACAGTAGCTGCTCTTGACGAGGAAGCCAAGCACTGAGGCAGGTGGCACAGGCACAGGGAACAGCATGATCAACGCCTGGAGCTGTGAGTGCGCCACTGGCCCAGCACGAGACCTGAGAAAGCTGGAGACAATTAGCAGAGAGAACCCGAAGGTGCTCAGCTTTTCACTTTCTCCTTCCCTCTGCACCCCCCACGAAAGTTGCTGATGGCTTCTGTGTGCACCTTCTCCTTTCCTGTTCCTCCTCAACCTCCACACTCTGGCCTCTGCACACATCACCTGGTGGAAACAGTCTTGCCAAGGTCCTCAATGCCAGCCTGTTGCCAGCCAATGGTCATCTTCAGGTCTCATCTTGCCTCCTCAGCAACCTAGACATTCTCCTTCTCTTTGAAACACTACCCCTCAGCTGCTGTGCTTCCCCCCACGATGGACTCTTTCCGCCGTCTCCTTTGCTGGCTCCATCCCCAGTGCCACCCCTGGATGTTGCTTGTGGCTGGTCCTGGACCTACTTCTGGTCAACACATTCTCTAGGAGACTCATCCTTGCTTGAGGCTTACCCACTGCAACTGTGGGGGATGTCCAAGTTCCTATCTCTAGTTCAGTGTCCGCCTGAGCCCCGGACCTACATACACACCTGCCTGCTGAGCATCTTGACCTGCATGTACTTGATGCAGTCTGGACTCAAAATGAGCCCAGGGGGACTCAGTGCATTCCCCCAATAGTTTCTGCTGCCCTGGGGTCCTTCTACCAGAGATTGGCATCACCAGTGCAAGTTGCCCAAGTCAGATTTTGGGAATCATCTCTAACGTCTCCCTTGCTAACACCTGGATGTCCTCTCCTTTCAACATCTCAGCACCTTCTTCTCCTTCCCTGCTACAGAACAGTCCTTCATCTTTGCTTCTGGGTTTCCTTCCACAGACTGCCCCTTTGCACTTTAACCCAAATGCCAGAGAGGTCTCTGTGAAATAAATGCAAATCAGGTCAAGCCACCAGCCTGTTCAGAAGCCTTTAATGGCTCACCACTGCGTACACTTGACAGCATGACACTCAGTATTCCAGCCTCTTCACCGCACACATTCCCACTGTCCCTGGGTCTCGTGCCCCAACCAGACTGAAACCATGGAGCAGATTTACCTTCCTTCACCCCGTTCCTCCCAATCCTTCCAGTCCTTAGGGCTCAGCTTGAGAGTCACTTCCTCCTGCCCCAGAATGAGTTAGGGCCCCTCTTCTGTGTTGCCATAGCAGCTGGGTACAACTCTGTCTACACCACACCCATGCTTTCTCTTCTCACTCCCCACCTGAGACCATGGAGTTTTTTAAGTCAGCGACTGTCCTTGTGGTTTGTTTTTCTACAGTGCTAAGAAATACTTGCTGAAATCAAAGGATCTGGGAAGGGTTTTGGAAGCAGACTCTGAGGTACTTTGAGGGAAATGAGTTACTCTAGGTGCAGACCCTGAAAATTGAAAACACAATATACTTACTTTCTACTTTTTCCCCAATAGAGCTCCACTTTTGTTCAGGAGGCATCAATACTGTTAGCTACGTTCCTTAGCCTCCTTCGCAGAGGGAAGCCATGTGACCCATTTTGGGCCAATAAGACTTAATGAAAAGCAGCTAAGCATGCTTGGGAGAGAGCTGCTTCCTGACATGAGCACAGCCCTTTTCTTTTACTTCCTTCATGTAGTTAGGAGAGGAGGCTGGAGGTGGAGCAGCTACTTTGGGATGATGAGCCAGTGGTGAGAATGAGAGCCATACACTACGGAATCATGAAGGGACCTCAGTCATGACCACCCTAGACTATCTACTAGAAGGACTTCTTATTATGAGAGACAAATAAATCTCACTGAAGCCACTTCGGTTAGATTTCCATTACATTTAGTTGAACTCTACCTAATAAAATAAAGCCAGATGAAGGTAGATAACCATCTGTGAGCATTTTTGAGTTGGCCTTCCCTTGAAGATGATGCTCGTCTTGACAGCAGGAAGAAGACAAGGTTAATGGAGCAGGACGAATTGAGGGATGAAGAAGCTGCCCTGGTCTGGGATTTGATCAGAGGGCCCTAGCAAGGCTTTGGGGTTTGAAGAAGAGGCGCCAAACATGGCAACTGTAATGTGCCTGTGACCTTGGCCTTCTCTGTTCTCCGCTTGGTTTCACTTGTGAAATGAAGCTGCTGGAATAGATAACTTTTCAAAGGGCATAGTGCTGAAGTTTGGGCTTTGAAGTCAAAGCTGGGTTCAAGTTCCAGGTCCATCACTTAGTAGCTGTGTATCTTTCAATCACTTTTTTTTTTTTAGTTGACTTCCCTAGCATTGTCCCCTGTAAAATCCAGATTGTAATAGCACCTACAACTGTTGAGCTAATGATGGGGTTCTGTGGAATCACAATATAGATGCCCAGCAGAATGCCTGGCACAACTTACCATGGGTGTCACAGCCCAGTGCCCAGCACTCTGAGTGCTTCATGGTGGCAGCCATCCTTGTGTTCCAAGTTCTCTAAGAGGGCAGACTGGTGACCTGGAGTCTCATGTCTGCTCTGGCTCTGGGGCTGGTGCAGGGCTCAGGAGAGCCTCTCTGGATGCCCTGCACTCTGTGGGTGGGTAAAATGGCCAGAGGCCACCCACTGTCCAATGGCTTTTCCTTAGCACTGCATGCTGCTGTGTGTCCTAGGGTCCTTGGACCTCAGGACAGAACAGCATGGTGGATAGCAGCTAGGAGAAACCAGACCATGCCCAGAAAGTTATCAGGCCTTGGATGGAAATAAGAAACCTGTGTGGTCCTTCCATGTGGTGGCCTTTGTTGTAGCTAGAGCTTTCTGGGTACTGGGGGTGGGCTCAGGCTTTTTCTGAGAGGGGAGTAGGCTTGCAGAGGTCAGTTCTGCAGGGGACTACCAGAATTAGGGAGCTGGAAAAATACATGCAGAACTGGGTTTCTTACTGCAGCTGCTTTTGATAGAACTTTCTTATTTTTCTCTTGAAAAGCCTCACCTTTCTCTTCACTGCACTGGGAATCCTAGTTGGAAAATGTCTTAGGAAAACAAATAAAGCCACTGTTATAGTCCAGTCCTGGGAAGGAGGTCAGTGGGGTGCGTGTTTGCCCAGCCACCCCCTCTCCCCATCTTCCCCGAAGTACTCTAGGCCAACCCAGCCAAGCTGACACTTGACAGCGTCTGCAGTTTACCTTGGCTCAGGTCCAGAGGGCTCGGCCCAGCCCGAGGCGGCCCCCACTTCTCCACCTTGTTACCGGCCCCCTTCTCCAGTGCAAAGAACAGTTTAAATATAAATCAGTCCTTGACACAAACAGAACCCCAGCGAGTCTCAGAGCCATCACCGGAACTGAGAGTCCAGGTTTTCTTTCAGCGAGTGCAAACAAGCAGAGACTGGCTCAGTAAATCTCCCCAAGTGCGTCGGGAGGGGGCGGGGGGCTCCCCTCCCTCCAGAAACCCCGGCTCTCCTTCAACACCCCTGGCTCCCGGGGGCCTTCCAGAACCCCTCGGTCCCTCTCCTGCCTCTTCCTGCCCCCGTAGTCCTGCCGACCCCTTCTCCAGTCCCCTTCAGTATCCCGCCAGCCAGCGAGCTCCCTCTGCACCCACCCCCCGGCGACCCCACCCTCTTAAAGCGACTGGCCCCCCTCCGGCCACTACCACCTCCCTTCCCCTGGGCCCGCCACACCCTCAACCCCCTCCCGGCAGGCAAGACCTTCTCTGGAGGCGTTCAAGCCCCACGGGTCCCAGCCGAACCCCAGCGGCAGACACATCCCGGGCGGGAACGAAGTCAAGCGCGGCGGCCGCGCCACACCTGTCCGTGGGGGCAGCAGCGGGGCGGGGGCTCCAAGCGCCTTGGACTCGCGAGTTGAAGAGGGAGGAGGGAGGGCGCGTTTCATCATCGGCGGCGCGGCGGCCACTTATAAAACTTCTGGGCGCGCGCTCTCTCGCCCAGTCCCCGCGCTGCGTGTCTCCCCCGGCCACCGCCGCCGCGCGCCACCCAGAGCCCGCCGCCCAGCCCTCGCTCTCCGGCCTCCCGCCCAGGCCCCTGCCGCCGCCTGCACAGGGCAGAGGGGACGCCGCCCTGCGCTGCTGTCGTCCGGCACCGCTCCCGCCCCGCTTTGCCCGCCACCATGGGGTTCCTGCCCAGGCCCGGTGCGCGACAGGGCGGCGGCGCCTCCTCGGGCTCAGCCGGCCGCTGTCCGCGCTCCATCTTCAACAACATTAAGGTGAGCGGAGACCCCGAGCCGCGCCGGGTGCAACTTTCGCGGAGCCCAGGAGGTTCTGGAGGCGTCGGGGCTACCTGCTCCGCCCTCGGTGCCGCGCTCCGGACGCATCGCCGGCACCTGGACCTGGCACAGCGGGCGAGGGGCGCCTGGACGGGCGAACGCGTGCTGAGTGCGCGCGCTCACACGCCCTCGGCAGTGTAAGAAACAGGACAATGAAAATACCTGCTTATCGGGACAACTCTATTCAGATAGTCCTGGCACTAGCCCAGGGAGCATTCTGTTCTTGGACTGAAAAAGAACATCTCTCGGGGCACTTTTGTCGACCTCCCGCAAGCAGTTATTTCCTTAATGGGGTGTGCTTGGAGGTGCCCAGGTCTGGCGCCCTGTAGGGAAGACTGGTCCTTCTGAGGTGGAGGAGAAAGCCCAGCTCATCTGCGGTGGGTGGGAAGGGATAGTCTCCTCTTCCCTAAGGGCAGCACCGGGAGGCTGTGCTACCTTACCCTGCCTGCAGCGTTCAGGATTCCCCCAGGATGGCTCTCAAGCCTGTGCGCTGGAGCCAGCTCTCCAGGTCTGGGAATGGCCCCAGGAAAGCAGTGGGTTCTCACTGTCTGTTCAGTAGCACTAGACAAGTTCTGGGGAATAGATGAAGAGAAGATGGGGTGGAGGCAGCTGTATGGTGAGGACACTCTTCTCCAGGGGGTCAGGAATGCTTTCCACTCCCTCACATGTGAAGGAGGACCCAGAATGGTGGAATCCATGCTCAGGCTTTTTTCCTGGTCTGGGGTCTGGCCGGCCAAAGCAACTGAGAATGCATCTCCTGAGTGGGCACAGCTGGTGAGAATGGGGAGGTTGCAGAGCCCACATTGGGGCTCCTTGGTGCCAGGGTGGGGATTATGTTGCAGAGCCACTGTTTCAGACAACCATGCAATCAGATGGAGCTAGTTAAAGCCTCCAGTGGTGCAACTAAGGAGAACCCAGATGTGAGTGTCCAACAGAAAGGGATCTGGAGGTCACAGTGGATCTCACCAATATACTTACTCATATTGCTGGCAGTGGATCTGGATTCTTACTCCTGCTTCTGCTTTCTCCCCACACCACACACTATAAAGGCTGAATGGATGCCATGGTTGGATGTAAATAAGACACAGAAATTATGAGATAATTTTTAATTTTTTTTATCCTCACCTGAGGACATCCTTTCATATTTTGTTCAGATAGAGTGGGAGGGAGAGAGCGAGAGAGAAACATCGACGTGAAAGGGACACATTGAGTGGCTGCCACCCGCACGACCCAACCAGGACCGGGACACACTGCAACTGAGGTACGTGCCCTTAGCAGGAACCAAACCCAGGTCTCTCTGGACTGCAGGCCGACCCTCTAAACCCTGAGCCAAACCCGCCAGGGAAATTATGAGATAATTTAAGATAATCTTTAAATCACCTCTCTTTTGGCCATACCTGTAGGAGAAAAAACACTGTGTGGTTTGGGTCCCACCATTTAAAAGTGTCTTGGAGCCCTGTCCAGTTTTACTCAGCGGTTAGAGCATTGGCCCGCAAACCAGAGAGACCCGGGTTCGGTTCCTGCTAAGGGCACGAACCTTGGTTGCAGTTTGTCCCCGGCCCTGGTTGGGGTCGAGTGGGTGGCAACCACTCGATGTGTTTCTCTCACATAGATGTTTCTCTCTCTCTTCCTCTTTCTCTCCCTCCCGCTCTATCTGAAGATGGATGCAAACATATCCTCGGGTGAGGATTTAAAAAAAAAAAGTCTTGGAGATGTTTCAACAGAAATTTTGGTGTTTATAACTTAGGAATTGGGAGGAAATAATGAGGGAAATGGTTGGGTGGTCTGAAAAGAGAGGGTCTCAGGAGGGAGCCAGGGTGGGGGCAACTTCCGCTATGTTCACCATGAAGGGCAGGAAGGACGACTTGTTCCAGAACAGATTCCTGACAGCAAGGTTAACCCCAAATGAGAGTGATCCACTTAGACCCTCCCAGAGTCCCTGAAATAAATGTGTGTGTGGCAACAGTTTCTTTGAAGATCTGTAAAAATAAGACCATTTATCACATGCTGATGATTGAGCCGCACGTGCCTGAGGCCTGGGTCCGGGCCAGTTGGCCTCCTAAAGTCTCATACCAGTTGAGAGTTTTCCTTAACTCTAAAAACCAGATTTTCTTAATTATTGCCTCTGTTGCTCCATAGTAATTCTGAGATCAGAGTTTGGCGAGAATTCTGCTTAGCTTCACTTATTAGCCTGACACCAGGTACACGGTTGGATATCTCAGGGTCAATATGGGGCCTGGTATTTCGTTAGTTAAATCTACTTAAGCCTTTTCTTCCAGGGGATGTTACTGGCCATCTGGGGGCTTTTCTATTTGATGGTAGATTTTCTCCTCCTTATGAGAGGTTGGGTGACTGCCCTACACCCTCTCAGTGGGGTATGGGTCCCACTTCTTGTGATATGTGTGGCATGGGGGGCAGGGGACACCCAACCTGAGAACCCATCCTTTTTCTAGGTTTTTTGATGCTGGGACAGATTAACCATGGGACTTTATGACATTCTTGCAAAAGCCCACATACCATAAGGTTTAGGGGAAGGGGATGAAGTCAGGGGACTCAGCCTTTACTGACTGAGTGACACAGGGATGCATTTCTCACCTGTCCTGGGCCTCAAGAGTCCTTACATGAAAACACTAGGTAATATGAGCAATTCCTACCTCATGGGACTTCGTAAGGATGATGAAGGATGAAGCATAGGGAAGGGCTTGGTGAGCCATGCTGGGTTCTCTGGGATTGGCATCCATGTGAGGCTAGTTCTTGCCTCAAAGAGGACTGCCCATTCATCATCATTGAGGATCTAGTGTTCCACTAATTACAGTTAATAGTTAAGAAAAACTACAGTTAATAACACTAATGTCCAAAATGATAGTAATAGCTAACAGTAAAGGAGCTGTCTGAATGTACCAGAAACTATGCAAGTATTTTATCCGTATTTAATCCTCATTACAACACTCTCAAGTAGATTCTGTTACTGCCCCCATTAATGATGAGAAAAACAAGGCTTGGTGAGGTTGGTCCCTTTTACATGGAGACAGAGCCAGAAAGTGGGGAGTATAGAGGAACCACATATGAGGCTCCAGAGTCAGAGACCCTAAGGGCTATACATCCTGGCCCTCACCATCACACAGTGCTGCCCAACTTGAGCTAGCATGTGGGGATACCATGGGTGTATTTGTTCCCAATGGTCAGGCTTTCTCCAGGCCCTGGTGACCCACGCACATCCTGGCTGTGACCCGGGGCCTGCAGTGGCTGGAGGCATGGCTACTCCCAGTCACTAACAGGCTCATACCCTTTCATTCTTTTTTTTTTTTTTTCTTAATTTTGTTCTTTATTTATTTTTAGGGAGAAAGAAAGAGAGAGGGAGAGATCGATAGAAACATTGATGAGAGAGAACATCAATTGGCTGCCTCCTGCATACGCCCCACTGGGGATTTGGCCTGCACCCTAGGCATGTGCCCTGACTGGGAATCAAACCAGCGACCTCCTGGTGCATGGGTCAATGCTCAACCACTGAGCCACACTAGCCGGCCCCTTTCATTCTTCATAACGCTCATCTAAGGAGCCAGGCAACTCTCACTCTAGTGGTGAGAGTTTTTTCCTACCTCCTTTCACAGGAGTAAATACAATGGCGTTTAATCTAGAGAGTCTCTATTGTGTCTGGCTTACAAGATTCTTAAGTAGTGGACATACTCACCAGTCACTGCCAGAGGGAGCAGCTTGGCATCCAGGACTCTAAAACTCTGAATTAAAAACAGTTCATTCAGTGACTATGGGGGTGAGGTGGGGGAGAGAAGAGGGAGGCTTCGTGGCTGACTTATCCTGGCAGCCTCACAGAGATCTGTTTCTCCTTAAAATGAAGTTTCTGGGGCCAAGTGGAGGTTATCTTGTCAAAGGAGTGGTGGGTTTGTGACTGGCGCCCACATTTCAGGCACTTACTCGCCCAGGGCCCCGGTGCAGTGAGACTGTGCAGCCAGTGAGTGGGGAACATCCTGTCCTGCGGGGTGGAGGGCTGGGGAGAGCAGTGGGAAGAAAGGAATAGACAAATCTGGCCGGAATAGCCCCGGTGACCTCTGACCTGGGAGGGAGGCCCAAAAGTGAAAGAGAGGTACTTTTCCTGACCTGTGTCCATAGCTTCCTGAGGTCCCTGAGGTCCAGAGGAAAGTGCTATCTCCCAGCAACCTGTAACTTGTACTCAGAAAAACAGATTCAATAGAATGCCCAGGGCCAAAGAATTCCTTAAGTGACCCCATGGGTTAAGTTGTGTCCTCTCCTCCCAGGGGTGGTGTTTTTCTGACTCTGAGGTCAGCATGTATTCAGTTTTCCTGGAATGTGTCTCAGCCTTGCCCCACTTGAAGGGGTGGGCAAAGAGAACAATGGGCATGGGTGGGGTGGGGGTCGCAGGTCACTCAGACCCCTTCCTCCTGTCACGATGCTCCCAGCACCTCTTAGCTTTCATTTGCTCTCCTGGTGATGAATTTGTGACCTGCGCTCCCACAGAACAGTTGCAAGAGCAATTTGGGTCTCATAACCTAGGCAGCTCATTTTCTCTGAGCATTCTCCTTTGTCTGTGACGGTGCCCACTTCTCCTTCCATTCTGGGAGGCCCAGATGTGGGGATGTGGGGATGGGAATGCAGCTTCCCCTCACTTTCTTCTGCTCTGCTTGTGGAATAGGTCATTTTCCATGCAGAGGGAGCTGGGTGGCCCCCCAGTCCAGGCACCACCTCTCCTTGTTTTCCCTCTTCACATCCTTGCTTGGTTTTATCCTCTTCTATGGTTTTAACCACCTCCTGTCCTGATTTTATCCCCTTCTCTGCCTGTGAAGACACTGGCCTGCAGAGAGCCCCAGTCATGTGCCAAAGCCCAAGAGATGGTTGTGGAGGAGCTGAGTAGCCAGGGGTGTTCTGGGGCGAATGGGTTCATCCCAGGATCTTGCATGGGACTG